TTCTAAAGCCACAATGCTAACTGGTATAGCTAAAGTATATGCTTCCATTCTTGACAATATTGGATACTGCTACGCACCGCCAGAACCTGCCACTACCGCTTGGTCACTACCGTCATTGGCCATCGAACTCCGCCACCAACTTCATCAAAACCCGCCGCTGCCAAACAAGAAAATGAGGAGCGGGCTTCACCGGAGCTTCACTGTCGGTCGGAGGGAATACTGCTCGCTAGAGAAACAGAGGAAGGAGCAAGAGCTGCTGCCTCAAATCACCGCCGCCGTCGCCGGGAAACAGCCACTAACGATGCTGGGCGAGATCGTCCAATGTCCGCCGCCAGTCCGCCTCCCACCAAAGCTGCTACACACGCTATAAGAGATAGAGAAGAGGGAGAACTGTCGATGCTATTGTTGCCGAAACCGTTTGTCGCCGAAAAGCCATCCGCCACGCCATCCACCTGGTCTGCTATTATGCCGTCGACGAAGAGGGGTGAAAGAAAATGAAGAGGAAGGTTCAAGGCGTAGGCTGATGTTATATATATATATATATATATATATATATATATATATATATATATATATATATATATATATATAAAAGATAGATTTATAAATAGTAGGGGAACTCCTATTTTGGGTTGGGTCCAAAGTGGTAAATGGGCTAGGTTATATATAAGTTGTTGGGTCAAGATAGTTTGGGCTTGGGTAATTTCTTTTGGGTTCAAGAACAAATTCTAGGATTTATATATATTTTGGGCTAACATTGGAGATAAAAATATAGATTGGTCAAAGAAAGATTGGGTTTAGAAATTTTTTTGGCTCAAACAAAATCATTGGACTCAAGAATTAAATCATTTTGGCTTAGAACATTTGAAACTTATAAAATGATAGAAGCAGGTTCGTCTCAAATAGACTTTTGGATCAACATTTTAGAATAAATCATCGTAGGAATAAAATAATTTTATTTTCCTAATTTGATCAATTAGGAATTTTGGAAGAAAATATTTTGGGTTGTTACATTACAGTAGTGAATCTTTCCCCTATTTTGCATTCTCACACTTGTTTAAACCCGGATTTAATATTGACCTTAAGATTGACACTAGGTGATTAAATACTTGAATCCCAGGAATCTTATTCTTCCTCAACTGTTTTCACAAACATTTTTGTTTTAATTAGTTTTTACCATTGCTCATTCATGTCTTTCCTTAGGATTGGCTTCATAAGAATAAATTAGTATCAAGTTTTTAATACGCCTCACTTCCTTCTGGATCAATTGTGACAACCCAAAATTTAATTTTATAAATCCAATTTTAAGAAATTCCAAAATAGCCATTTTCCCTCCATTAAAAATTTTTGCGATCAATTGGTGTTTGAATAAATTATTTTGAACACATTTTAAATTAATTCAACACCAAAACTTATTTTTAATCCAAAATCCTAAATTTTCGGGTACTTCGCGTACCAAGTTTTAAATAGAGGAACCAATCTAAGTGAGACCAGGAGAATTCTGAGAAGCCTTAAACAAGTGTTCATCTAGAAAACTTTTTGAGAAAATTCCTTTTCAACCCAAAGTATTTAAAATAGCAATTCTAACATTGGTCAATGGAGCATGGTGGACCACTAGACATCAAACCCTCTCCTGCTTCATCTTTTAGCCAATGGAAATTACACTTTTGCCCTCCACCAATCATTGTTGATTCTCCTAGGATTTAGAGCCCTATAAAATGGAATGTTTTCAGACATTTGCCTCTTTGATTCTCTTCCTTGTCTTCCCCAAGCCAACTTTGCAAGAAAACACATCAAGCTTCCATTTCTTCATTATTCTCCTAGCTTCTTTGATTTCTAGCTTCCATCTCTGAGAACTTTGCTCTTAAGGCTTGTTGTTTGGTTGTTTTTCATGTCTAGGAGGTGAAGGAGGGTGTACCCATGGATTCCATCTTTAATCTTTGGCTCTGTGAAGCCTAATATCTTGAGTAGAAATGAGTAGAAATGGTAGATTTTCATTGTGTTTGAGCTAGGAAGTGATCTATTATTTATCTATGATGTGTTGATAATGTTTTGGATGTGTTGGAGTTGCTTGGAAGTGATTTGTAGATGAAATGGACCATCTGGTGCACAGACAGTGTGCACCAAATGGATGTAACGGCCCTAGCCATGGCCCATCAGAGAGGCCCCTGGCTAGAGCCGGGCCAGCCGGGCCTAGGGCACGGCCCTAGGAGAGGGTCGTTGCCTAGGCCCAGCGTTTTTACGGCTTGAGGGGGGGCGGTTCATGGTGAGCCCCGCCCCCTGGTCTCTGAGAGTGATCTGTGCAGTGGCCGGGCCCTTGTGGCTCAGCTACGTGTCGTTTCAGGCCAGGTGTCACGGGCCCTTGTCGCTCGGTACCTCGGGGCCATCTCGACACACGTTTTGGCTTTGATTTCGTTAAATTTGGATTAGAAATGAGCATGTTATGATGGATTTATTGATGAATTGCTACACAATATGCATTTTGAAGTTCACCCGTAAAAGAGAAATGTCTTGCCTTGTTGCCTGATGTTTATTTTTGTGTTGAGTAGAGAAGCATGATCACTTTGAAAATATGACTTATTAGAAAAACATGACTAGAATGTGTTGTTTGATCAATGGGATTTGGAGTATATTTTGATGATAGAATTATATAGAATTTGTTATGTTGCAAGCCTAGCATGAGATTGTATTGCTGGGAATTTTATGAATTATAAACATTGATTTGGAGCATGTTGTAGAGTATTTTTGCATCTCAAGTATATCATGTTTTGAAAAGTGCATAAGTGGCCAACGTGAGCCTAAGTATTACTTTCAAAATCCATAAGCATGTGGTATATCATTATTTGATGCATTGAGAAGTTGTCGAGTTGTGGCATGCATAAGTTTGGTGCATGAGAGATACATTTATATAGTATCTATATTAGTGAGGTTTTGGAGGACCCCGTTTGGACTATGTCCTCTCGGATGATTTTATGGACATTGCGGTCCCAGTATATGTAACACTGTGTATTCCCACGTTACGAGGTTGGAAACTGCCCGCTAGGCTTGGTATCCTGGTCAGGGGTGTGCACGCTAATAGTTCGATACCGGATTCCACAGAGTTTGAGCATAGAACCAAGAGAGTGGTTCGGTGGACGAGCAGAGCATTAGGTCGGCTAGACGCCGTGTCCGGATAGGTTCATTCACACTATGGTGAAGTTCCTACCTCATCCATTTATAAAGAAAGAGTGAGTCATTGCGACTCTAAGAAAGAAAGAAGTGAGTCATTGTGACTCTAAGAAAAGAAAGAAAGAAAGCAAGTCATTTATGACTCAATGAGACCTCCACAGAAAGTATTCTATTTTACAAACGAGTGTATGAGTATATTTATAGTATTGCACGAGATTGCATTCGAGTACATTTATAGTATTGCACGAGATTGCATTTGAGTATAGTATTGCACGAGATTGCATAAAGAGAATGATTAGCTGAATTTGTTCATGAGTGTGATTGCTTAGTTGCATTTTTGAAGTATTATATATCCAGTTGCTTGATGAGAACTTGAAATCATGAAGATAGTTTTCGTATTGATTAATGGTATGAAATTGCTTGTAAGCATGAGTTCGTTACGATGAGTTCGTTTTGTTATTTATGTGTTGGAATCTTTATGTTGTTAAGTCATTTGTATTGAAGCATGTCTTTTGATATTATAGGTTGCAAGCATATAGAAAGTCTGTGATGTATCTACAGTTGTTTATGTATTGAGATTGTTTGACTTAGTATGTGAACAAATGTTTTTCCAAAGTATATTCTTTAGTGCTTTACAGGGTTGAGTGTGGTTATACTTAGCTTCGTGCTAACGGGAGTTTTCCTATTTGTCTATGTGTTGTTTGTAAAACCCCTTTCAGGTGGGCCCAGCGTTGAGAGGTGATCGAGTTAGACTAGTCTAGTATCTCTAGTAGTCTGAACTCATAGTCTTTTATCATGATGTTATTTGTCGGATTTATAGACTTATGTTGTTTTGATGATGATTGATGATGTAGACATCGGGGTGTGTTTTTTCCCTTTATGTTTTTAAATTAAGTTTTATGGATGTTAGTTATTTGTTTTATTTCTAGTTCCATCCTTAGCCTGTGCAATCACCACGGAGTGGTGGTTGTGGCGGTGACATTCCCACTAGTTTACTTATTAAGTTGTTTATCCGCTGCTTAGTTTATGTTAGTTGTGGTTTAGAATTGTAATTAAGATTTAGAAAAAGTGGGGTGTTACATCGATAAGCCGATACTTTGAGTATTATTTGTTTGTCAATTATACTACATTAAAATTGGTGCCGTTGCCGGGGAAGTGTCGTTTAAGTATTGACATTAGTGAAAGTTTTATTGTAGGAGTCTAATCCATTTTTATTTTTATTTTTATTTTTGCTAACCTATAACAAGTGCTTTATTTGAGTTGTGATTTTTGGTTCTAAGTACTTGGTGTTATATGCGCACACGGTCTCTAGGGAAAGAAGGATATTGCCTCTGAACCTTGAGATTGAAAAGTAAGCCAAGTTCCTTAGAAAGCAAAGAAGAATGGCACAGGGACTTGGAAACCAAATCAATTTGAACCTTACTGGAGGTGGGGATGACAATGGAGTCAATCAACCACCACTTATTGGGAGATCCATGTCTGAATACATTGCTCCAGATGAGGAGGAACATGATAGTATCAATGTTCCAGGTGTGGAGGCCAACAATTTTGAGATCAAGCCGGCCATCTTGCACATGATCACCTCCGATCAATTTGGAGGTGAACCAACGGAGGATCCAAATGCTCATATCACAAAGTTCCTCCGCGTATGTGGCACTTTCAAAATCAATGGAGATCCTCAAGAAGCCATCAAGCAACGTGTTTTTCCCTTCTCACTAAGGGACAAGGCTCAGTGTTGGCTCATCTCACTTCCAGCCAACCATTTTTTTACTTAGAATCAACTACATAGAGAATTCTTGAAGAAATTTTACCTAATTTCCAAGACTCAAAAGATGAGGAGAGCAATTCAAAATTTCAAGAAATTTGCAACTGAGTCTTGGGAGAGGTTTAAGGAGATGAGAAAGAAAAGTCCACACCATGGCATTCAAAGTCGGGATTTGATGATGGTATTCTATGGAGGGTTTCTTGACCATTCAAGAGTTCTAGTTGATGCTTCTTCGGGTGGCTCAATCACATTTTTGGAACCAAATCAAGCCGAGGAACTACTGGAGAAGATTGCTATGAATGGATCAACTTGGTACTCGGAGAGATCTTCACAAAAACCTATAAGAGGCATACATGAAGTGGAGAAAATTTTAGCCTTGTCAGCTAAGGTTGATAATGTTGCTTCCATGGTCCAAAAGCTTGCTCAAATCACTCTCCAAAAGCAAAATGCGAGTTATGTTTCTACCCCCCCCCCCCCCCTTCCCCCTACTCCTTCAAGTCAAGTTCTAATGTGTGATCTTTGTGGTGGTGGATACAATTTGGGAGAATTCCTTAATGATCCTAGTTCTCAATCTCCCATGGAGCATATTAATTTGGTGGGATACAATAGGCTACAACAACAATCCTTTCAACCTCAAGGGGCCTATAATTCAAATTCCTCAAGAAACCACTCAGGTTTTCCATGGAGAAATCCAATGGGGGGCTGCAAATCCCCAACATTTTGTCAATAGAGGACCACCAGGTTTCCAAGGGCAACAATTCCAAGGTATGCAGTCTCAACCTAGACCTCCTTTACCCACTTTGGAAGCTCCCCCACAACCAGATTTGGGAGCCATGATGAATATCCTGCTAAAATCCCAATTGAAAAGTGAAAAGAGACTCAAGCAAGTGACTGAGAGATTGGATCGACTAAGTGCTCACAACAAGATGCTAGAAAATCAACTTGCCAATCAAGCCTCAACTTCTAGCACTAAAGACACTGGGAAGTTTCCAGCTTGCACCGAGAACCCAATAGAACAAGTCAATGCCATTGTCACAAGGAGTGGGAAGGTACTTTGAGAGCCATCTCTTCCAATTGATACATCAACTGCAAGTAAGATTGTTGATGTGGAGATTGAGGAGAATCTTGAAGAGGAAGAAGCGGGGCAAGATTCTTTGAAGTCAAATCAACAAGTCATGATAAGGTAGAGAAACCCGTGAGAAGGTATGAACCACCATTTTCATTCCCTCAAAAATTTAAACAGCAAGCCAAGTAGAGTTGGTGGAAAAATATTTTGATGTGGTTAAAAGTTTGAAAGTTTCTATTCCTTTACTTGACTTGCTTTCTCAAGTTCCTTCTTATGGAAAATTTTTGAGGGATATTCTTACTAAGAAGAGGAAATTTGGGGATCATGAGATGATTGATATGGCTCAAGAGTACCGGGCCTTGTCTCGTAATGAATGAAGGAACCTTAGGAAACATAGAGATCAGGGGCAATTCACAATCCCTTGTGTCATTGGTGGCCATACAATCAAGAGATCCCTTTGTGATCTAGGAGCCAGTGTTAATGTCATGCCATTATCTCTTTGCCAAAAGTTGAAATTGGGAAATCCACAACCGGTCAATCTCACGTTGACATTTGCAGATCAATCTACTACAAGCCTCAATGGAATTCTTGAAGATGTCCCAGTCCGGGTAGACAAGTATTTTGTGCCTTGTGATTTCATTGTGATAGCTGGTCAAGAGAATCCTAATACTCCCATCATTTTGGGAAGGCCTTTCTTGGCTACAACTGGAGCAATAATTGATGCGAGAAAGGGATCCATGATCTTTGATTTTGGAGAGGAGGAAGTGGAATTTGATGTTCTTGATGAGTCAAAGTCTCAAAAAGTTGAGAATTGTTCTAGGTTAAATGCAAGTCCTTGGTGCATGTTGATTCTAGTTTTATGATGACTCATGAGGAACATATTAAGTGGAAGAATTTCTTGGGTGGAGAGGTCAACCTTGTGGATCAACCGGACTGAGCACTCCATAATGGGGTTACGTCGAGCAAGCGACGTTAAACTTAGCGCTTCATGGGAGGCACCCCCATGTTATCTTTTATATTGCATTTTTATTTATTGCTTTCTATTATTTTCATCTTATTTAGCTTATATTAGTTCGTGTTGTTTTATTGCTTTCTATTTTCTCTTTTTTTCTTGTCCTCCTTGTGTTTTGGGTTTTTACATCGAGGGGACGATGCAAAATTTTAAGTGTGGGGGAGGAGCCAAAATTTGGGGTAATTTTCAAAATTTTTGCTTAGATGACTCAGGTTCTTTTTGTTAATAAATTACTTGTCACAGCATGTAGTTACAATTGTTCTCTCTTGTTGGTTGGGTTTTGTTTTGGTGGTACTTGTTGCAATTCAATTTGTGATTGATGATTTGAGCTGTAAACACATTATTGATCTATTTTCTTGCTAATAGCTTTGTTAACCACTCAATAAATTGGATTAATTCTTGATCTTGTGTGTTATGCATTGCTAGTGAAGGCTTATGTGAGATTCCGGTCATGGGTATTTTGCTAGAACTTGCCTCATTACTCCCTAAGTGAAGTCTAAGTATTGCATGTTTTGAAGTGATTTAGGCTATTTTTGTTTAGCCCATAGCCTTTAAGCCTACCCTTATATATGTTATTACCCCTTGTGTCCCCTTTGAGCCTTGTATTGGTCATTGAAGCTCGACGAGTCAAGCTTGTTCTCGACGCATCGAGCGGCCGAGAGGCCAGGCTTTGGCAATTTCCAAATTGTTGCGAGAAAATTCCTAATTCGCCCCGATTTGACTCCCGCTATAAAAGGACACATTCCTCAATCCTAAGGAGTTTATGTTGTGTTTTGGAAACAAGAAGAAGGAAAATTGAGAACTACAAGTTGTCTTGGGAAGTAAGAAGAAAGCTAGGGAGATTTGGGAGAATCACTTGGTTTAATTCCTGTGCTATTTTAGATTATTTGTAAACTCTTTATTATTGCTATGTATTGCATATTAGCCATGCGTGGCTAATTTACTTTAGAGATTCTTGGGTAAAAGTATTTATGAACCTATGTGCCCAGTTCTATGATTCTTTAATATATTATTATTTGGGTTTTATACTTGTGTTGCAATTGTGATTCATATTGTTGTTGCGAGTAGTTTAGGGCTCAAACTACTTGTTTCATAGCTTGGTTTATGTCATAACATGAGTTAGGCATATTTTGGAGCACTCATAATTGCACCTAACTTTTGCACCTTGGGAGATGGCATATTTGTTAGGTAATTAGTTCTTAGTTATTGCACATTGGGAGATGGTAGTAGTTAAGAGTTTATTATGAATGCTTGTTCTTTCATTGTTGTGTGTTTATATCACGGGAGCGAATATTCACCTAGGTTAGAGATTATAGGAGTAACTCTTTCCCCTATTTTGCATTCTCACACTTGTTTAAACCCGAATTTAATATTGACCTGAAGATTGGCACTATGCCACTATGTGATTAAATACTTGAATCCTAGGAATCTCATTCTTCCTCAACTGTTTTCACAAACCAACATACTTTGTTTTAATTAGTTTTTACCATTTGGTCATTCATGTCTTTCGTTAGGATTAGCTTCATAAGAATAAATTAGTAGCTAGTGCTTAATACGCTCCACTTCTCTATGGATCGATAATAACCCGATACTCCGGGTATTATTTGTTTGTCAATTATACTGCATTCAGCACAATCGCACGGTAACACACACACACACACACACACACACACACACACACACACACACACACACACACACACACACACACATATATATATATATATATATATATATATATATATATATATATATATATATATATTGTGTGTCTGTGTCTGTGTGGACATGTGTATTTTCCCCTCATCGTATGGTGTGTATTTTCCCCTCATCGTATGGTTTCTATTATTCATTTGGTGCTTATGAATTAGCTGACTTCATCACTAATTAAAAAATAAATTTATTTAATAATCGAATAATGAAAAGTCCAATAAGATGATTTCACATTAGGAGGGAAAGTTTGTATGCAAGTATGCAACATATATGAGGGATATGTGTATGGGGGCACACTCTTGTGAAGACCACTCCCCATGAGAAAACTATAAACCAATTGGAAAAGTGATCTATTTGAAAAGATTTAACAAATCCTAAACAATTATAGAAAAAACAAAAACAAAAAACAAAAAACAACAAAAAAAAAAAAAAAAAAACTATAGTGACAATTTTTTAAATAACTCAAATTCTAATGTGCAATTAACAACGTTATAGAATATAACTTTCAACATTATAGAGTGCAAGTAAAACTACAAACTGCATCTGATAAATTTAGAAAACTAAACCAAAAGCTAAACTATAAATACTAAACTCTTAAATAATAAAAAGTGAATTTAAAAAGTGAATAATAAAAACTGCATCGTTGACTTCATCAACGATAGGAAAAAAAAATTAAAAAAAAAAAAAATCAAATTTAAAATACTAAACCATAAATCTAATCTTTAAAGATGAACTCAATTAATTTTCGCATTCGGTGCAATTAATGATACCATATTACCATTAGATGCACTTTATACGATTCCTATGTGCACTTTATATTGTTGCTAAGTGAATTTTAAAGACAAATCATAATTACTCACGACGGAAATTCAATATTTAAATTTTTCTACATCAAATTTTAAAAATTTGTGGTAAATTACTAGTTTAACTTTATGATTAATCAGGAGTGGAGATTTCCTTTCTCCTCAAATTTTCTATGGGAACAGAGACGCAGAACGAATCGAGAACTTATACATAAAAATGGAGATATACTCCTCAGCCTGTACCATTGCCATCCCTATTTGCACGTGCCATTGAATCTTCTTTGTGCCGCAACCATCCAAGAAATTCACAAGCCTAACTTCAATTCAAAGAAGTGGTTGTGTGGTTAACTTCTACTAATGAAATCTTGAATTAATTTGTGATTCAGATGAATGCACCAGTAGTTATCCTCCTCGTGATGGCTCTCTTCACTGCCACTACTTTTTAGGATTCTTCACGTATTCTACCTCGTGTATGTAACACTCTATAATATGGACGGTCACTTTTCCCTTTTCTTATTCTACTTTAATTTCAATCCTTTTTATACGTCATATATTGCTCCTTATTATGGCTCCAATTCATGCCAAGAAATTGTGGCCTAAACATTAATGTTACTTGCATTAAATCATATTTAATTTGATGTTACTTTGTTTGATTATGTGAATCGCTATGACACATTTAGTTTAACTACATGATAGTGTAAGATTTGTCATAAAAGAAGTTGGTACGGTGTATATATCACTTTTTATTATTTGGTTCGGAAAATAGTACTTTCACATTTATGTTTACATGAAATAACGATTTCACCCACTTAATTATTGGTGTGTATATTATTGATCTTATAATTTTTTATAGGAAAAATTGTCAAATAGGCCTCCGAACTTTACTCAAAAAAACAATTAGGCCCTTAAAAATTTCAAAAGTTACAATTAAACCTATAAACATGTTATTTTGAAACATTGAAACCCAAAAACCGGTTAGTAATAACCTGTTATTACAGGTTACCTAGGGGTTCAGGCGACCCTTCCACCATTTTTTGGCAAAAATCACCGGTCGCCGGTCACGTTTGGAGGATGCAACCAAATTGGTCGCCTTCTCCGGCGAAGGAGAAGGCAGACCAATTGGTCGCCTTCTCTAATCGCCGGAGAAGGCGTCGCCTCCTCCCAACACGACCGGCAACCATCCGGTCGTCGGTCGCTGATGATTGTTGCCGAAAAATGGTGGAAGGGTCGTCAAAACCCTAAGTAATTATAGGTCACCATCCGATTTCTTGGCTTCAATGCTTCAAAATAACATGTTTATGCGTTTAATTGTAACTTTTGAAAGTTTAAGTGTCTAATTAATTTTTGAGTAAAGTTCAGGGCCTATTTGATCATTTTTCCTTTTTATAAGGTGACCATTTTGGCCCATCTTTTCAAGATGTGTGGTTTTGACATTTCGATTTCTCAATTTGTTAACGAAAACTTTAACAGGGCGTTTGGTTGGAGGGATTTTAAATTCCCTTCCCACTTAATTGCCACCTAATTCCAAAGGTCATTATATTCCGTAGTTTGGTTGGAGGGAATTGCAATTCCATGGAAATGCAATTCCCCTATTTTCATGGAATTAAAATCCCATGTCCCCCCCGGGATTTTAATTCCTGGGAAAAAAAATAGTGATGAGTCAAAATTACCCCTTCCTATTTTAACCTAAAATTAATGTCTAACAACAATAATGGACATTTTTGACTTTATACTACTTATTCCCTTTCATTTCCCATGTATACCAAACATTGAAATTGAAATTCTCAGTAATTCTATTCCTGTCAACCAAACACAGGAATTTAAATTCCCACTTTATTCTCAGTAATTCAACTCCCATGGAATTGCAATTCCATTCCCACATAATTCCCCCCTCCAACCAAACGCACTATAATTGTTTAATTTAGAATTGTAAATTAGAATTTGGTCCCTATATTAACTAACATGCTCCACACGTATGGTGATGAATTATATTTTAGTTAATGGCCTTTATTGGTGGAGGACCTAAAATGTTATTTTATGAAAAATATAATGGTCAATAATGCCCGGGTTAATAATTGAGGATTTGAAATTGCTATTTTTAAAAAATATATATATATAGACAAAAATATTGTTTGTTCATTTAATTTTTACATCAATTTGTGTTAGGGTTGTCAATGTAGGTCGGCTCTTCCCACCATGGATTAGCCTATATGCCAAATTTGTCTAATTCTAACCCAGCCCAAGCAGGTTGTAGGCTCCGCTGGCTAGTTTAAAAAGTAAAAAATATATTCTTTTTAGAAAAAAAATGATTATATTACACAACATACTATATTTAGTATATAAATAAATAGAAAGAATATTATTTTTAATTTATGCATACTATATTTTAGTAGTAATAATTTCTTTATCCGTACTAACAACTTGCATTCATTTTTTTCATATGGAAGTGTACTAATTTTTATTATATATTAGGAATACTAATACATAATATGATTTAAAAAGTATATGAAACAATAACATGCCTACAACATTTTATCTTTTTTTATTAAAACATATAAATAAAAAAATTGTTAACATAGGCACACGCGACCCGCTTCTTCAACGGTCACAATTTTTTTGCCCTAACTCGCCTCACTACGGTTCTCAACACAGCCCATTTTGAGATCCTTATCTTTTAGTGTAATAATAGCTGACAATTTAAGTGAAAACTGATTGAGAGACTCACTATTTACCTCCTCTAGCGTGATTTTACTTGGACAAAATTAAATTTGGGGGGTTTAATATTAGTTTAGTCTAAGTTGAAAAATCTAATGTCTCAATATTGAGCAATAAGGAAGAACCAGTAGATGAAGAAAGAGAGTAGCTCAGGGGCACACTTGTCCTTTCCTCCTAGTTAGTTGTAACAGCCTTTGTCGCCAAAGTTGATGGATATATTCTGCATTGTATCGTTCTCTCTGTAACTCTTCTCATCACTTTTACACAGATCATGTAACAATTAGCTTTGATGGACTCTTTGAAACTGACCTTCTCTTAAGCTTTCCTCCCTCAAATCGTCATGGTATCAGAGCCACCGCGACCCACCAGCTACGTCGCCGCAGTCGCCGGAACTGGAGAATCCAGTCAGAAAACTCATCCTTCCGCACCAGTCAATCGATCGCCAATCAATACCTCACCGCCAAACAGAAGCCTTAATCTCACTCCGCAGAGGAGTAACATATCAGAAGACATAGAAAATCCTCTTCATCTCAACAGCAATGAGAGCTCCAACGCCATCCTTGTGATTCCTCCCCTTACCGAAAGCAACAACTACGGAACATGGAGCATATCCATGCGTGTGGCGTTGGAAGTGAAGAACAAGTGGGGGATCGTTGATGGCAGCATCACTCCATCGGATAGATCGAGCAATCAGTATGCGGCATAGAGAAGATGCAATCTCATGATCTGTTCATGGATTTACAAGTCAGCTCACCCCTCCATTGCTCATAGTATCATGTACATGGATAGGGCAAAGGAGATGTGGAACGATCTGAAAAAGAGGTTCTCCCAACGAGATGCGAACCGCATTTCATCTTTGCAGAATGAGATTTACTCTTTGAAATAGGGAAATCTGACGGTTAATGAGTATTACACAAAATGTCGAATCCTTTGGGAGCAGATGAATGAGCTGAGGCCGATTGCGGTATGCAAGTGCGATCCACGTTGTTCATGTAATCTTCTAGATGAGATCAGAAGCGAGCGTGAAGTGGATCAGGTTATTAGATTCCTTCAAGCTAAGGTCTGAACGATGAATACAATTCGCTTAAATCTGGAGTACTTGTTCCCGATCCTCTACCAGATATGCATAGAGTATTCATGATGGCAGAAAATTTTGAAAAACAACTAAACATTGTCAATCTGAGTTGTCAAGAAGTTAACCCTGCAAATTCTGTTCAGACTCCTCAGATTGTCACCAATGACATTGTCGCAGCTTTCAATCAATTCAACAACAGGAAAAACATGAACTCTGGCAATGGCGGTAACAAGGCTAAGTGTACCTTCTGTGGAATGAGTGCCCACACAATAGAAAAGTGCTATAAGAAGCACGGCTATCTGCCCGGTTGGATACCGGGATACAAATCAAAAGAAAGACAGCAAACCATAGCAGCCTCCACAAGTCGTGATGCCGGTATCCCTTCTGAACAACTTCAACAACTCATCTCACTCTGACAAACTCAGATGATGCAGAATCAGACCCCCACAAATGCAGTCGTCTCTCTCATCCCTACCTTCAATAAAGAGATCTCCCAAAATGAAGGCAGGTGCACTATTGATACTCATATAAACTCAATTGCTTTAAACTCCTTTCCTTGGATTTTTGGATTCAGGTGCTACTGATCATATAGTGTGCTCTTTGGGATTATTTGATGATTATTATGCTGTTGAAGGAACAAGGGTTAATCTACCATATGGTAATTAAGCTACGGTTAAACATGTGGGAAATATAAAATTGGATGATGATCTATGGCTGAGAAATATCTTACACATCCCTACTTTCCAATTTAATATTATATCTGTTAGTAGGCTGCTGCAACGCTCATCTCACACTTTAACTTTTGCATCTGATCAGTGTCAGCTTCAGGGGAAACTTGGGAAGATGATTGGATTTGCTAAGGAACAAAAGGGCTTATACCTTCTACTCAAGCCACCAATAGACCATAGTATGTCATGTACTCACTTTGCCATGTCCTGTAGTGCTGAAACTTGGCACCGAGGATTAGGGCATTTCCCTATCAATAAAATGCATCGTTTGAATGATATCTCTATGTCCAGTACTAAGAATTTAATCTGTGATACCTATCACTTTGCCAAACACAAGAGAGCTCCATTTCCTCTCAGCACTACTATGTCAAAAGTGTGTTTTGAACTCATTCATGTAGACATTTGGGGTCCGTTCATGGTTCAATCATTAGGAGGAGAACGTTACTTCCTAACCATTGTCGATGATTACTCAAGATACACATGGCTCCATCTAATGAGGCACAAATCAGAGACTCAGAATCTAATCAGAAAGTTCCACAAATATGTCCATACTCAGTTCGGGCTTCCGATTAAGATCATACGTAGCGATAATGGTCCGGAATTTAATATGGTGAATTTCTTTGATGATAATGGTATTATCCACCAGCGAACATGCATGTACACCCCGCAGCAAAATGCAGTGGTAGAACGAAAGCATCAACATGTTCTGACAGTAGCAAAAGCCCTCTGATTTCAAGCAAGCCTCCCTTTGGAATTATGGGGGCAGTGTGCAACAATCCTCATTAACCGCTTGCCATCACCAATTACTGAGTGGTTAAGTCCATATCAATGTTTATATGCAAAGAAGCCTGATCTCAGCAACCTCAGGGTGTTTGGGTGCCTGTGTTTTGCCTCCATTCCATCCCATTCCCGGCACAAAATGGCAGCACGTAGTAGAAAAGGTATGTTTATTGGAATACCTACAAATATAAAAGGATATCTAGTGTATGATATGAATGATGGATCAGTGGTTATCTCGAGAGATGTGGTATTCTACGAATTCGAATTCCCGTTCAACAAAAAGGATCAATGTCTAGCAGAAGATACTCCCCAGCTAACTGAACCATCTCTGCCCATCATTCCCATATCCAATTGTGAAGAGGTCAATTTTCAACAAAGTAGCAGCAATTCTCCCCAAATAAACAATGGCAGCCCCCAGTAGATACATATTGAGCCCCTGAACACTGACAGCCCTGCATGGCCAGTGAATACAAGCCCTCTGCCAGCTGATTCCACAAGTGACGAAACATGCAATCTTGATGGAAATGGTACAGACATACCTCAGTCCAGTGCCCCTGAGCAGCCTCGAAGATCAAACAGGCAACGTCAAATCCCAAATAGACTACATGACTATTACTGTGAAGCAGTAACACAAAACATAACTTCTCCTCATGCCTTATCCAAGGTAATCTCTTACGGTGGTCTTGTTCCTTCTCACAAGATGTTTTCAATGGCTGTCACTGCTATCCATGAGCCCAGGACATATAACCAGGCAATCAAGCATAACTGCTGGAAAGAGGCAATGGATGCAGAAATAACAGCCCTACAACAAAACAGAACTTGGGAATTGACTGATCTCCCGCCTGGGAAAACACCTATAGGGTGTAAATGGGTCTATAAAACTAAGCTCAAAGAGGATAGAACTGTGGAAAGACATAAGGCGAGGCTTGTTGCGAAAGGCTACACACAACTTGGTGTGGACTATCTTGAAAATTTTTCCCCAATGGCAAGAATAACAAAAATTCGCATGTTCCTAAGCATAGCTGCATCTAAGTCTTGGTACATACACCAGCTGGACATCAACAACGCATTTTTACATGGCGACTTGAATGAAGAGGTATACATGGTTTTACCACCGGGGTTCCAGAGTGAAAAACCAAACCAAGTATGCAGGTTATTGAGGTCTCTATATGGCCTCAAACAAGCGAGTAGGCAGTGGAATGCGAAGTTAAATGCTGCTTTGCTTCATGTTGGATTCAAACAATCCAAATCTGATCCTTCTTTATTTACAAGGGGATCTGACACGAGCTTCATTGCGTTGTTGGTCTATGTCGATGACATTATAGTGACCAGTGCGAGAATGGATTTAATCCCATAACTGAAAATATTCTTGGACAATGAATTCAAGATCAAAGGCTTGGGAAGTCTGGGCTATTTTCTGAGAATTGAGGCAAGACTGTCAGAAAATGGGTTGAACATATGTCAGCGAAAGTATGCTTTAGAAATATTGGATGAAGCAGGCTTCCTTGGATGCAAACCAGCATGCACTCCGATGATACAAGGCCTTAAACTTGCTCATTGTGATGGAACTGCTCTTAATGATCCCAGTTGTTACAGGAGACTGGTGGGAAGACTATTATATCTTATAGACACAAGGCCGAACATCACTTATGCCGTCCAACAACTCAGCCAATTCGTTGATGCTCCTACAGATACACACTTATCAGCAGCACACCGGGTATTAAGGTACATCAAGCTATCCCCTGGCCAAGGACTCTTTTACCCTACTAATACAGATATGCAGCTCAGAGTATTCTCAAATTCTTATTGGGCAACATGCTTCGAAAGTCGGAAGTCCATCACAGGTTACTGTGTCTTTCTAGGTTCAGCATTGATCTCATGGAGATCCAAAAAGCAAGCAACGGTTTCTAAGTCGTCATCGAAAGTAGAGTACTGTGCGTTAGCATCCACAGTTTGTGAGGTGCAATAGCTTACCTACCTTCTTCACGACTTACAGATCAAATTGGTCAGGCCAGCAACTGTGTTTTGCGACAATAAATCGGCTATAGCTATAACTGAGAACCACGTGTTGCACGAACGTACGAAACACGTTGACATAGATTGCCATATTGTCAGGGAAAAGCTAAACCAAAGGCTAATTAAACTGCTGTCAGTATCGTCTTCAAACCAAGTTGCAGACGGATTCACTAAACCTCTATGAACATCGTTGTTTCGAAACTTCATATCTAAGCTAGGCACACAAGACCTGCATACGCTAGCTTACGGGGTATTGAACAATAAGGAAGAACCACCAGATGAAGAAGGAGAGTAGCTCAGGGGCACACTTGTCATTTCCTCCTAGTTAGTTGTAACGGCCTTTGCCGCCAAAGTTGATGGATATATTCTGCGTTGTATCGTTCTCTCTGTAACTCTTCTTATTACTTTTACACAGATCATGTAACAATTAGCTTTGATGCACTCTCTGAAACTTATCTTCTTTTAAGCTTTCCTCCCTCAAATCGTCAAATTAAAAAATAATAATAATAATTTTGAATCCCGCTGGATCCAATCATTATGAAATGGGAATAGTAGTTAAAAGATTTCTATTTATAAAATTCAATAATAGCTCGTTTCCATATTTATAAAAGTATAATGTAATTATTTTGATAATAAAGTATATGGTATGTGATTAGAGTACATACCAAAAACAAATTAAATACAACATCCTCTCCTCCATTTTCCACACAATAATTGAATATTTTATAATGTTAATAATAGAATAAAAGGTAGCCTTCAACCCCTTCCCCCCTCTTCATCTCCGGGCCCAAGCTAGGCCACCATTATAAAAGGGCTGCTTGGATGAATTGAATCTGCATGAGACTTAAGTCGTCTCTATCTTCTGAGCTTCTTCAACCATATATATCATCACTCTTATTCCATCTCTATTAAAACTTAGCCTTAGCTTGTTGATAATGGCATTTCCTCAAACAAAAAATGATGCAAAAATCCTCCCAGATGCCTGGGACTTCCATGGCCGCCCCGCCCTCCGCTCCTCCTCCGGCGGCTGGAGCAGCGCCGCCATGATTTTGGGTCTCAATCTCTTCCTCTTCCTCTTCCGATCCGTCATATTCATATATATATATATATATTTACTGACAAAATAGACCCATTTTCTTATTTAATTCAATTATTCCATGTTTTTATGTGATTGTTATTTGTTTGTTTGTACGTAAAGGGGTTGAGGCTTGTGAGAGGTTGACGACGTTGGGCATCGCCGTCAACCTTGTGACCTACTTGACGGGGACCATGCATTTAGGGAATGCTAACGCCGCCAATAACGTCACTAACTTTCTTGGAACTTCCTTCATGCTCACCCTCCTTGGTGGCTTCATTGCTGACACTTTCCTCGGAAGGTTTTTTACTTCTTTCCTTTTTTTTTTTTTTAAAGATTTCTCCTCTCCTCTCCTCTCCAACTATTTGGAACTGATTTTTAACCTTTTTTAATCTTCGTAAAAAATAATGAATTTAGGTACTTGACAATCGCCATCTTTACCACTGTTCAAGCGACGGTGAGTTCCTAGGAATTAAACCATCTTTTTACTATCTCTATTTTTTTCTATTATTATAATTTCTTATCCCAAAAGACTAAATCTCCAACCCTGAGGCCCTCCACACTCCAACCCAAGCATGTGGGAGGATATTATAATTTCTAATGCTAGAGAGTCCTAATATTTTTCCCCACCAAGACATCCCTGGGTGATTGGTAACTAAATTATATTTTTAATTAGTGGTGGGGTCAACCAATTTATGACCATGTTAGGATCAAGCCCTTACTGTATAGTAAAGGATGAACTTTATTTTCTTATTATAGCCCTACACATTTTTTAGATTCCTGGTTCTGGATTTGGTCTTTACCAGCCCTGTCCAATAATTTTTAGATTTGGCCTTTACCCGCCTTCGTCTGTAGGTGGAATTTAGAAGCTAAAGAAATAGCATTTTCCTTTCTTTAATTACACTTTTTCTTGATTGCAAGCTTTTTAATTAGCATTTATGTATGGATGATTAGGGTGTGACTATTTTGACAATCTCAACAATAATACCAAGCCTAAGGCCTCCAAAGTGTGAACGGGGAAGCCCGGCATGTATTCCGGCGAGCGGCGCCCAGCTGCTTGTCCTCTACGCGGCCCTTTACCTGACGGCGCTGGGCACCGGCGGCCTGAAGTCCAGCGTGTCCGGCTTCGGGTCCGACCAGTTCGACGAGAGCGACAAGAGGGAGCGGGGCCAAATGGTGAAGTTCTTCAACTGGTTCTTCTTCTTCATCAACGTCGGATCGCTGGCCGCCGTCACCGTGCTGGTGTACATCCAGGACAGCCTCGGACGGAGATGGGGGTACGGCATTTGCGCCTGCGCCATCGTGGCGGCGCTTCTCGTGTTCCTGTCGGGGACGAAACGGTACCGTTTCAAGAAGCTGGTGGGGAGTCCGCTGACGCAGGTGGCGTCGGTGTTCGTGGCGGCGTGGAGGAAGAGGGACTTTGATTTGCCGTCGGATTCCTCTCTTCTCTTCGATACCGACGATATCGCCGGCGACCATGCCAGCAAGAAGAAGCAAAAGTTGCCGCACAGCAAACAGTTCCGGTGAGTTTCCTTTCACATCCTTAACTTAATTAAGAAAATATTATTTATACTTATATCTTATATCATACTAAATAATTGATATTACCAATAAACTCATTAAAAATAAGCAAAAATTTGTGTGATACCATCTTAAGAATTCTTGTCTTGAAACGGGTTATGTCAAGATATAGGTATTACATTTTTATATTCACCTTACCCATCTCACAGACAGAAAATTTAAGGACACATTAGACGTTCTCATACAAGTGTGACCCTTGAAAATAACATAACTACACAAGATTTAAGGATTTATTGATTGGGATAGTCATTTATAGTTATCTAATTATATCATAAACT